AAAAACTAATTGGGAACCACTGCTCTACTATATAGCAGTTTTTTCTTTGTCTCTCAACAAGCACGACATAATGAGGGGCCTTATAGGTCCTTAAAAGTGGCGTTTTAGGTGCTTAAAATAAGCTCTTAAATTGTGTCGTTTAGGCTTTATAAACAAAAAATAGGCAGTCAAAATTTGCACAATGAACAATTAATGTACTTATCAGGACAATGAATTTTTTTATTTAGATATGTATTCCAAAAAAGAAATGCACATATTCAGAATGATGCAAACACAAAAGTAGACAAACAATTATCTTTACATTTTTTATTTGCTCTGTTTCCCATAGTTAGCTTCATAATATATTACAAGCACTTTTTCCAAATTTTCAATAGAAAAGTTGCAACTTTTGTCACCGAGAATTAATTTATGTGCAGAGAAAGAGCATATAATCCGTAGACATGTTCCATATCTACTGAAGATAACAAACAATATAACCTTGGAAGAAGATGAACTGGGAATTCACTTTTGCTCTTTTTTCTTGTCAAAATATCAGCCACAATAAACAAGCACTTTAATCCAAGTCTCTTTTGAAGCACTACTTTCAACTCTTTCTTCACTTTTTTTGCAGCAGTGCCTGGTGCATCACAAAGTTTCTGGTTTGCTCTGTTGAGGAGATCAATTTGTTTATATGTAGGTTTCCCACTACTTTCAAGAGTAGTAGTAGTATCTGCAATGAATGTGAAATAACACTCAATGTACATCAACTTGTTCTGAACATAAATGTCATTCAAAATTTTCTTGGCTTTAGTTACACTTAAGAATTAAAGTAAACCTTTGCGGAAAATGAAATGAAAAATTAATAAAAACTTTTTAAAAAGTATGAAAACAGACTAAACTTTGTGTTCTAAGCAAAAATAGGCAGCAATGTCAAAATAAGTATTTTTAGGCATTATAAAATACCATTGTTTCGATCTAAATGTTCATGAAAAGTGTTCATACGAAATCTTATCCATGTATATGCCAAGGAAAAAAATAGGCATTTGCCTAAAATCCGCTGTCTAGTGATAAATACTTAAGAATTTTAATTCTCATTTTTCTTATCAACAATATGATCACTGAATAAGATATTTTCTTTATTATACTGCTTAATTAATAAAATTACAATACAGTGGTACCTCAGGATACGAAATTAATCCGTTACGAAACTGAGATCGTATCATGAAAATGTCGTAAGGTGGATCATCTTTTCCCATACGATTACATGTAAAACCAAATAATTCGTTCCAACGCGAAAAACACACTCAAATTAAAGCCAAGTAATACATTAAAAAAAATAACTGTAGTAAGAAAAACAAATGAAAAATGCAAACTAATGTAATGTCGTATGGTGAGTTTTTGTTCATATCGTGGAGCAAAAATATGTTCGAATTTCATGTCGTATCCTGAAAATTTCATATGCTGGGGCGTTCGTAACCTGAGGTACCACTGTAATGTAATTTTCTTTCATTGCATTTTAGTGATTCATTTCCAGTTATGATTTTTGAAACCCTTCTAAAGTTACTAGTAGCCCCCTAGTGGACGTTCTTTACAAATTCCCACGAGGCATGGTTCCTTTGACTTTTTTGTTCCTAACAATATGCTCTGCAGTTCTGTTAAAGTCCCAATTGCGTCATGTGGATCTAGATTTCTACCTATTAAACATTCTATAAATACTTTAAAATAGTTTAATTTGTTTATTTACTTTCGCTTATAAACCTCGATTTTAAATGTATCCACTATTTTTTCAACAAATTTCCCATCAGTCAATGCACAATGCTCACTCAACGATGTTGTAAACATGTGGCGCAAGGTTAATCAAGGCATATAATAATTATTTATACCAGTCCGTGGTATAAATAATAAATTCCTATTACAAATAAAAATAATTTATTGTTAAGTTAAAATCATCGCTAGGGCGCCCTTAGTGGGCGTTTTAGACAATGGATACCATTACAGACGCAACAATAGTTTATATATATAAGATTTACATCAATTTTCAGCATTTCGATGATGACGAAGACGAAGAAGAAGATGATGACAATGACGACGATGAAAGTGAAAGCAACGAGGATGACGATGAGGAGTTAGATGGAGATGATATGAACTATGATCAAGATTCTCCAGTTAGTATAGTACTTATTTATAAACCTTATTTTATGTATAGACTACTTGTAATACTAAATTTAAAAATTATTTTATAGAATTAACATGCTTTGCAGATTTGGCAATTAAAATATTGTTCTTAGTTTTGTTAGATTGTCATGTCACAAGTTGAATTTGAGTATGTGCATGTTTCTGTTTACTAGAATATAATAGGGATCATTTGGAAGAATGCAGCATAGCCACTGTTTGTGGTATTGTGAAAATTAATGAAAGTAATAAGCATTAATGAATATCAGTCTTAGAAATATAGATAATGATATATTTGTATAACAGCTTGTTGTTTTCATTATAACAAGACTTGTTTAATTACATCCATTTAAAATGATACTTTTGTTAGTATGATATACATGATATATATTGTTTTTCAAAAGGAATGCTACCAGTTTAAATTGAAATTATTATCTGAGAAAGTCATAATGTAGATTAAAACTTTGAAAACCAACCAAGTTTTCCACTGGCTTGTTACAATTTTTCAATGTGTGAACCTCATGTCATACACACATATCCAACCAATACAGGTATACCTCGCCTTACGTCGGTAATTGGTTCCAGGAGAACGACTTAAGTCGAAAAACGACATAAGTTAATTTACTTGTCTCCGAATCTATTTGCCACTAGGCTAAACCATAAATAACCAATTCCCGTTCTGTATTTTATCTATTAATGCATTTTTAATAATATATGGTTAATAAGGATCTATTTTAAGCTTACAAACAAATAAATTTTAGTTTTTAATATAGTACAGAACAAANTTTGCAGCAGTGCCTGGTGCATCACAAAGTTTCTGGTTTGCTCTGTTGAGGAGATCAATTTGTTTATATGTAGGTTTCCCACTACTTTCAAGAGTAGTAGTAGTACAGTGGTACCTCAGGATACGAAATTAATCCGTTCCGACACTGAGATCGTATCATGAAAATGTCTTAAGGAGAATCATTTTTCCCCATAGGATTACATGTAAAACCAAATAATTTGTTCTAACACGAAAAACACACTGAAATTAAAGCTAAGTAATACATTAAAAAAAAGTATAGTAAGGAAAACACTGAAAAATGCGTTTTGTAGTTGTAAATGTATAAATAATCGTAACAGAATAATAATTGATTAAAAAAAAATGTAGTTTTATTTGCACTTTACCTTTGAGGATAGACGACGGTGGAGGTGTAAATTGGTGGAGGGAGAAGGGAAATGATACTAAAACTTAACTTACATAACATAATGTAACAATAACTTAAAAATAACTTAGAAAAGATTTTAAAAATTAGTGTTGTTTTATTTTTTATTTTTATCCACTGCTTGTTGCTTTCTTTCCTTCACTTCTATTAGCATTTTCACTGGATAGAGGTCGCTCGGTAAAATATCTATCCAAAGAGGTTTGGCTTTGCCTACTTTTTAAAATGTTTCTAAAATGACTTAGGCAAATGTCATTACTCCGAGCAGCAATACGGCCAGTG